AAAAAGATAAAAAACAGGCATTCCTTCATTATCAAAAGTCGGCAGATATGGGGCATGCTACTGGAATGTGTTACCTTGCTTATTGTTATCAAGAGGGAACTGGAGTTGAAAAAGATAAACATAAAGCGTTTATTCAATATAAAAAATCCGCAGATATGGGAAATTCAAGAGGAGCCCATAACCTCGGTTATTATTATCAAAATGGTATTGGAGTTGAAAAAGATGAGTATAAGGCATTTAACCTTTACCAAAAGTCTGCGGAGATGGGTGATGCTAGTGGAATGAATGAAGTCGGATATTGTTATCAAAATGGAGTTGGAATTGAAAAGGATGAATATAAAGCATTTACTTATTTTCAAAAATCAGCTGAAATGGGGCACTCTACCGGAATATGTAATCTTGGTTATTGTTATCGAAATGGAATTGGAGTTGAAACAGATGGAAATATGGCATTTTTTTACTATCAAAAGTCTGCAGAGATGGGAAATGCTGGCGGAATGTCTGAAGTTGGTTATTGCTATGAAAACGGAATTGGTGTTAAAAAAGATGAGCGTAAAGCATTCTTTTACTACCAAAAATCTGCTAATTTGGAAAATGCAAGTGGAACAAATAATCTTGGATATTGTTATCTGTATGGGATTGGAGTTGAAGTAGATGAGTATAAGGCATTCGTATATTTTAAAAAGGCTGCTGAAATTGTTATTGAAATAGAGTTGAAATAACAGGTGATTTTTAGTCAATAATATGTTTATTTATATGGTATTTAGTTTATTCGCCTAAATAATCGATGTAAAAAAAGCTAAGAAATGATTTGATTTGATTTGTCTTTCTAATTATCGACCTATGAATTGAAATTTTTTGTTTCAAATGAATTGATGTGTAAAAATTTGTATTGTCAATTTATTAATTAATCCGCCTAAAAACAACACATATTGCTATAACAAAATTTGAATCAAGTTTCTTTTGTATTATTTGTTAGTACATTGCGATGTAGCTTTTTTTCTAAGCAAACCTCCATTGAGCTTATGCAAAAATTTAGCACAAAATCTACGAAATTTTGAAGACTTAAATATTTTATCAGTCAAAATTAAAAATTATAAAAATTATTTTTGATTATATTAATAAGTTTTTAACCATGGGTGATGTAACCACTCCTATTAAATTTAGGGTTAGGGTGCAGTTTTGGGGATTTTTTGTTTGTTTTTTTTATAATATAATGTATATTAGATATAGGGTCCCGATTTCAGTTCTCGCGAGGTTTTTGGGGGTCCTGAACATTTTTATTTAGAGTACCCGATCCAGGTTACTTAGTACATTTTTGAGATATAGCACCCCTGGTGATGTGACCAGGGGGCAAGTTAGCAATAGTCTATTAATAATACTTAATAGTAGTTTTTTTACATAAAAATTTCTATTTGTAACGGCGTATATAAAATTAATATATAATAACTCAATTTTATTAATAAACCTATTTTTAAAATCTTGATAAAAATTTAATAGGTTTTTTAGTGTTTTAAATAATCCGGATTTTATGGATTCGGATGATAATCTAATTTGAACAGCAAAATCGGTTTGGACCAAAAGATTCGATTGGCCTAGTTTAAGCCTGAAATGCATTAGAATCCAATTTTCTCTTTTATACGTTTTACATTAATATATAACTTCTAATTCTGTAATTTAAAATAATTGGATTTAAAAGCTTCAGTATGGTATCGAATTCAACTCGAATTTTTGGATTAATTTTATTTAATGTGATATTGTATAAACAAGAACTGCTTTAGAACCTTCAGGTAGATTATTAAATTATATGTTTAAAGCTATATATAGAACCCGGGCATGTATCCAATTTGTCGACCAAATTCGTATAAAATCCCAATCAAATCCATATTCCAACCAAATTCATATCCCGATCAAATTCATACCCATCTTAACCAAATTCGTATCACTAGTATTTCCCAAATTAGAAGATTTTTGAAAATAATTAAATGCTTGATTTTCATCCTTTTCAACACCAACACCATTTTGATAACAATATCCAACTTCATTCATTCCACTAGCATATCCCATCTCTGCAGATTTTTTATAATAGATAAATGCCTTATGTTCATCCTTTTCTCTCCCGATTCCATTCTTATAACAGTAACCAAGATTATACGTTCCACTAGCACTTCTCATTTCTGCTGATTTTTGATAAAGGGAGAATGCTTTTTGTTTGTCCTTTTCAACGCCGATACCATTTTGATAGCAATAACCAACTGAAGATATCCCGTTAGCATCTCCCATCTCGGCAGATTTTTGGTAAAACATAAACGCTTTATGTTCATCCTTTTCAACACCAATACCATTTTGGTAACAATAGCCAACCCAAGACATTCCATTAGAATCACCCATATCTGCAGAAATTTGATAGTGAATTAATGCTTTAAGTTCATCCTTTTCAACGCCAATTCCATTGCGATAGCAATATCCAACCAAATAAGTGCCTCCTGAATCGCCCATTTCTGAAGATTTTTGATAGTAGGTGAATGCTTTTTTTTCATCCTTTTCAATACCAATTCCATTTTGATAACAATAACCAACATCATACATTCCATCAGTGTGCCCAATATCGGCGGATTTTTTATAATGAATAAATGCTTTCTTTTCATCCTTTTCAACACCAATTCCATTTTTATAACAATAGGCAAGTGAAATCATTCCATTAGAATTTCCCAAATCGGCAGATTGTTGATAGTAATTGAATGCTTTATGCTCATCCTTTTCAACACCAATTCCATTTTGATAACAATAGCCAAGATTATATATTCCGAGAGCATGTCCAATTTCAGCAGATTTTTGATAATTAAGAAATGCCTTATTTTCATCTTTTTCGATACCCAATCCATATTGATAGCAATCACCGAGCCTATTTATTCCGTAAGCATTTCCCATTTCAGCTGATTTTTGATAATAGGTAAATGCTTTCTGTTTGTCCATTTCAACCCCAATTCCAACATCATAGCAACCTCCAACGTTACAAGTTCCAGTTGAACTTCCCATCTCTGTAGAATTTTGATAATAATTGAATGCTTTATGCTTGTCTTTTTTAACCCATCTTCCAAGCTGATAACAATAACCAAGAATGTTTTGAATAATATGATTTGTTTGATTATTTGAGCACCAATTAATTACATCTTCTGGTTTAAGCTGTTTGCTTGCTAAATGTTTTTCTATTATATTAAGAATTGTTGTGGCATAGTTTCCTTTTCCTTCTTCTTCTTTATGCAGATCACATAATTCTTCAATAGTTCTATTAAAAATGCCTTGCAGTGTGTTATCATACAAATATTGTAAGTATAATCGCTGAAAAATATTATTGAATAAACTTTTTGGATCTTAAATAATATCACTCACCATCTTTTACAAACCATTTTTTAGTTGAGCTATTAGGAAATCCTTCCTTGTTTGACATTTTGATGCAAAAAAAAAAAAATCAAAATAGTTTGTAACAAAACTTGGTGAAAACATGTTAAGTAAATAGCGCCATTACTATGCATTGTAACGTAACTCATGCAATGTATTGGTATCGGAATTTGCAAATATTCAAATCTAAATATGGTAACGTAAAGCATAGTATATACTGTAATTATTTAATTATAATAGTACGTACGTACATACGTACGTACACACGTAAAGTACGTGCATACCATGAATAATCGCAATAAGTATCTTTAATGCTTGTAAACTGCAAAATTATAAAGCTGTAAACTGTAAAAGATGAAAAACGCATAAATGCTAACGAATTTATTGATTTGTAAGCTGTCTCAATGCCTAGACTAGCAATTTAGTTATTTGCGTTGAATTTAAATTAGTGTTTCAGGCTAAACTGTTTTTCAAAATCCGAAACGTTTTGCCAGGAAGAACTTCAGGTTCGTACTATAGTTCGAAACTCCGAAACTAGTTTGGGTTTTCCAATCGTACGTCCTAAGCGTTATCTAAGATTAGCGCAAGTCGTGAAAATTTTAAATATACTGCGCAGCCTGTAGCATTATACAAGCTGGCCAGCTAGTCTGAAATTTAAAATCACACTGCGCAGTTTCTCAAAAATCCTGCGCAAAAAGTCCATCCCTATTCGAGACACAATTTGTTGTTGCCATTGATCGGGTGAACTTGGAGGAGGTGACACAATTTAACTTGGAACAATTAGTTTAAAAATAACAATTATGGTAGAAAATTAATATTTTGGATGAAACATGTTAGCTTATTAAGGGAGGCTTGCTCATGTGATATTATGTAATTAAATCGAGGCCTTAATCAGAAGTAAAATGATGAAATGATGTGCATTCGCGATTTCTTACATTGGTTGGTCTGTGTGATCGTAAATTTTTCCTTGGAGTGAAAGTTGCTTAACTGATCATAAAGATATTTAGTATTTCGACTTTCCATAGTTATAAGTATTACTATTTAAATCATACTAAGGTGTACTTTAACAGGTTGCATCATTGTCTTAGAGATATATCGTGAAAAAAAAAAAAAATCTATAGTTAGACTATCATTTTAAATTTAACGGTCTATTTTCTCTTCTATATAATCTCTTTGAGGTGACCGACAAGCAGGTCTCTGTCAGTATCAATAAGAAAAGACATGCGAAAGTACAAGCAGGTTAAAAAGATTTAATTTCTCTACACGTGTTCTCGTAAGTAGTAACAACAATCTTTCTGTTTGATAACATAGCTGCTTTATAAATATTTTAGCAGTGTAAACCATTGTAAAAGATGCTAAAATTTTGGGGAAAAATCTATTATTTTATGAGCAAATTGATTTTTGTATCCTGTGTATGGATGGATTATCTTCGTAAAAACCAGGATCAGACCGTAAGATCGAATGATTTTCGGTCCTTGGTCCGAGATGGTCCAGTCATGGTCCTGATTATGATCAACGATTACTACGTAATACTTACTGATAAATTAATATAATTGTCCGGAGCGTAGCGGAGGACATTTAGTGTTTACGTATGGTGATACCAAAATTACGTTATTGATGTATTAAAAGCTACTATTTTGATACAATACTAAGAAATATATCAGAAATGTAATTTTTAATTTTCTTGTCTGTCCGCACGCGTGTCTAAATTTGTACTTTGGTGTTACAAAAACAAACACGTTTTTACAAAATTATAATAGGCTCCAGACACACAATGCTACGTATTAACCTAGTTATAATAATAAGAGTGATATGAATATCGGCTGCACAATATTAATTCAAATTTTATTAAATAACAATTTTAGAAAGTAGGGCATTAAAAGAAGGTAAGCAATAATTTTTTTGCTTTTTATAATACGAATATCAGCTAATGATTATTGCTAATATTTAGAAAATTCGGCTTTGAGATTCCAAGTCACTTTGCTTTAAGAAAGACTAGAACGTCTTGAGAGGACTTAATCTAATGTTTCGCAGTCATCTGCCGTAGCAGACCTCCTGATCTACGTAAACATTGCCGATGATGATATTAATATCAATGAATATAATGATAAATATCATAAAGATAAGGGAAGAGAAAATTCATTCTCACCTGGCAAGTTGTACAATCTAACTCAAACAAGGTTTAAGCATGGACAATTAGTGTCGATGGATGCTGAATATAAAAAAGCATTTAGAGTTTTTTTTTTAGAATATTAATATTGGATTACTTAATATACTGTATATATATTTTAATATATATTTTTATTTTATTGATACAGAAAGAGGTACTTCGAGCAGCCAAACAATTGGCACACAAAAATCACCACCTGTTAGTAAATGAGAACAAAAGCTGGCTCTACCAAAAAGACTTTGTTGAACTTACTATCCTTTCTGCTCTTAAGAAACGTATTAATAAAAGCCTCGAATATCTTGATGAAGAAGTAGTTCGAGTACTTAATACTAACCATAAAAGCTGTGCGTCAACAGTAAAAATTAAGGCGAATACTGACAAATAGAAAGTTAACAGGGAGAAATGAAAAAGTGTTAAAGTAATATTGGTGAGAAAAACATGAGAAAGAAAGAAATGCAAAATCAGGTACTTTTATATTTAACGAAAGATACAATTACACATAAACTGATAATTTTCATGATCATTACATTCTTGTACACACGAATTAAAAAAAATAGAGCTATGTGATAATTTTCATGATCATTATATTCTTGTACACACGAATTAAAAAAAATAGAGCTATATGATAATTTTCATAATCATTACATTCTTGTACACATGAATTAAAAAAAAAATAGAGCTGTGATAATTTTCATGATTATTATATTCTTGTATACATGAATTAAAAAAAAAAATAGAGCTATGTGATAATTTTCATGATCATTATATTCTTGTATATACATAATTAAAGAAATAGAACTATAGTCGTCATTCGATTCATTATTGTAAAAAATATTATTACATGATATCTAATTCAATTACATTATTGAGTATGTCTAAAGAAAATTGGCTTCGGGCTTTCAATTTTTTATTTTACCGAACAATTCCTGAGTCCGGTAAGTTCTAATTTGAAACCTGAAGTCTAATTTTCTTTAGAAGTACTCATATTTTCACATTATTGATTAAATAATATTTACTACTAAAGCAATATTCGTATCAGCTGCAATTGCTTGTCAAATTAGTGTATTTTATTCCCTTTACCTTCCATTAGATTTGTTAGAATAAATAAATATGCATGTGATCAATCGTCATAAATTAAATAACAATATATACGTATATAGTTAAGATATATAATCGAATTTGAGAACTATAGCGATAGGTGATGGTGCTACAGAAAGACTGAATTTGAAATTGGAGACCAAGACCGGAGAACCAAGCGACCAGGTCCTTAAGTGGGGGGACACACTAGCCGAACTGCT